CATCATCATCATCATCATCATCATCATCATCATCATCATCATCATCATCATCATCATCATCATCATCATCATCATCATCATCATCATCATCATCATCATCGTTATCATCATCATGATCACCTGCAGCATCATCAGCATCAGCATCATCATCAGCGTCAACATCAGCATCACCAACATCATCGTCATCATCGTCATCATAATCATCGTCATCATGATGTGCAGCATAACCATCATCATCGTCATCAGTATCATCCTCGTCACCAACATCATCCTAAGCATCATCATCACCATCATCATCACAATCAGCACCAGCATCATCACAATGAGCACCGTGATCATCACCATCATCATCGCCATCACCATGTAGCAATCATCATCATCATCGCCACCATCATCATCATTACAATCATAATCAACAGCATCCTCCTCATTATAATCGTCAGCCGCATTATCATCAACAACAGCAACAACATTGTCATCATTAACGTAACTGCTACCCTCAACAACAACGTCAACATCAACATCCACATCATTATCACCATCATCATAATCATCGTTATCGCTCCAAACACCATCATCATCGCTAGCATCACCACCGTCATCCATCGTCCTGTTCACTCCTCGTCACTATTCCGTCTTGTCATACCTTCTTGATTCTCCTGAGGTACAACTCGCCTGGAAATGCCCAACGGGCCTGTCATATCGAAACCCAATGTTACACCGTACCTTCTTTCAAGCGCGACGAATCACAAACAGCGCCATGAACAAACCACAAGTCGTACCGACGCTGAGCTGCAAGCTCACATGCGCTGGCGACTCCAACGACAGTACATTGCGACCGCTGCTCCATGCCCGAGAAATCCAGACCGACATGCAGACTATCGTTTCATCTTTCCCATTAGACAGGATCCTTACAATCAACGTCAAGCCAATCCTTGACATGAACGAATTTGGGTATCTCCCACTGACTGCTGGATGGGCAGTGTATGGCGCGACCCTGTACGCCCAATTTGCTTGGGTCAAGCGCGGGACACGATGGCTCATGAACACATACGTGCGTCGTTCCCCACAATTCGTCCATGGGTTGACATAGCCCCACGCGGGACTTTGTACACCGTCAGCGTTTATGGCCACAAGGGGCGTTCGGCAAACCACAAGCCTTCCCTATAAAAGTCGCAACGTCCACTGATGCCCCCTACGCGTGCTTAGAGATGCACCACCGTCCGCCCGCGGACCTTGACAACCCAGAAGGGGGCTCCGGCCATCGAACATACACGTCGGTTGGCATCCCGCGGGCCCAAGAAAGGGGGGGAGAAGGAGGAGGAGCAGGACGAAAACGAGGAGGAGGAGGAGGAGGAAGAGGAGGAGAACGAGGAGTATGAGGAGGGGGAGGACGAGGAGGAGGAGGAGGAGGAGGATGACGAGAAGGAGGAGGAGGAGGAGGAGGAGAAGCAGGAATGGAAAGGAAGGGGAGACGGGATGTGGCGGGGAAGGACACGCCTGCTACTTGCAGCGTCCGTTCACCCGCCAGGCTTTCCAAGCGCCGCGGACGCCCGAACACCGCGTCGGCAGTGACGTCGAAAGCTGCAGATTCGCGCCAGTTTCAAACACACGTTCCTGGCTCGGCGGCGCCCTCATCGTGCCAGGCAACGGTGGCCAAACTCATGCGCGCGATCCGCCGGGCCAGCGCCGCGCCGATCCGCTCCCGCAGCGTTCCATCCATCGCGCGGGCGGCGCCTGCGCGGCGCCGCGTTGCGGCCCGGGCAATCGCCTGCGCGGCAGCCGCCGCCGTGCGGGTGCGGGCGTCTTTGGTTCGTCCACACTGCTGGGATGTAGACGAACCCGAGCTCCTCGAGCTCGACGCGCGCGCCCTCCCGTTCCCAGGCTCTCCGCTGCCACATAGAGTCGGCAGCATCACCGCTTGGCGCAAGCGTGGTGGCGAAACTCGTAGCTCCCACGTCCAATGCCGACAGGCGGCCAGCGGCAGCGGTAAGCACGTCTGCAGGTCCGTCGAATGGACGTGAGCGAGCGTGGCTCTCCGGCTCCAGCTCGCTACGAAGATCGCCCATCACGCCGAAGCGGTACAATTCCTCCTCGACCGAATTGTGGCCGACCGCCGCCTCCCCGGCGCAGCAAGTTGAGACGTGGGCTCGGGCTGCGTCCAAGAAGTGCACAGCATGGGTTCGGGGGCTGGCGGCGCCAAGACGAACGCGCCTCGCCTCAGTGCATCCGGCTGTGGTCGGTGCCAGCGTCGGCGATGGCCATCAGACGCCCCTGGCCCGCGGGCCCCGAGCGGCGGCCCTGGGCTGGCGGCGCGCAGGAGGGGGGTAGGAGGAGGGGAGAAGGATTCTTACAAGGAGACTGCTTCTTTAAAGGCAGCGGCCCTACATATACATATATACACGAAGCCCGCGCCGTCTAAGAAGCAGGGGTGCGTCTGGGAAGTCTCCCCCCCACGCGCTGACTAGGGGCGCTTAAGACCCTCAGCGCCGACGGCGTCCAAGACCCTCGCGCCGAGCGTGAAGCGATGCCGCTGCTCGTCGGCGCCCGACCTGGGCTTCCCGCGTGCCCTCGATCCCGGGCTTCCCGCATGCCCTCGTCGCGCGCGAGTTGATCCCGGGCTTCCTGCATGCCCTCGATCGAGGAAACTCCCCCGCACCTCGTCATCTCTGTCGAACGACAAAGACGCAGCGAACCTCGCCAACACGTCACTGGCCCCCTGGTCACAGCGCCCCAGGAGCACGTCGGCGTCGCAGAGGCGCGCGGCAGCGGTCCTCTGCAGGAAGAACTCGACGAGAGGTCGACAGGCCGCCCGAGAGCCGAGGAAAGCCAGCAGCGCCGTCTCGTCAGCAGCTCGGAGCACGAGCGCCCCGTGAGCGGCGCCCGCGGAGGCCTCCCACCAGGCAGCGTCGGGCAGGGCGCCGCCCAAGGCGCATTCGAGGGACGCCTTGGTGCTTGCGTCGTGCCCCTGCAGCGTGTCCTCCCGCACGCGGTCGCCGCGGGAAGCGGAGCCAGTAAGTCAGGACGAGACGTCGGCGCAGCGACTGAACAGAATGACCTCGGCGACGGGGCATTGCAAGGCGCCGATGCCGCTCCGCTGCGCGCGCACCTTGATTATGGCGCCGCGGAAGGAGGGGCGGCCCTCCGTCGCCCCGCCGTTCTCGCCCGCGCCGCTGGCCACCGTGCCAGAACATTCGTTCGGCGCGTTGGTTGGCAGCGCCTTGCAAGAGTCCCCGCGCATCGCGTTTCCCAGCCTGCGAAAGTAACCTCGCAACCGAGGGGGCCAACCAGCTTCGCGGCGCGCTTCAACCCCTCCCCGCGGCCGCGGCTAACACCGATGGCGCCCAGCTCGCGGCCCAGGGCCACGAGCGAATCGTGAAAGAGCGGGTGGCTGCACACGACGACGCCGTCGTTGACGTGCCACGCGTCCTGGACGCCATCGGAGAGAGCGAGTCCCGAATTGGCGTGGGCCTGCTCGCGGGCGCCAGCCAGAGGACCGACGGCCTCCAGGCCTCCCGGCTTCTCCTGTTGCTCGCTGCACCGGTCAAAAACGACCTCGGTGCCATCGACCAACTCGGTAATGCCAGGCTCCTTGTGCTCCCATTCGCAGATGGGGGCTTCCTCGGGCAGGAGACGGTTGAGCCCTCTCCGGACCGACTGTCGCTCGACCGAGTTGAAGGAATTCTGCAAGTCCACGTCGGCCACCACCATCACCTGCGCGTCGCCGCTCTTGGCGGACTCGTCGACCAGAACCCTCCAAAGAGCAAGCGCCTCGGTGGCGCCAGGGATCCCGAGGCCCCACTGCGCCTGTCGCACCTGGTGCGACAGGCGCAGCTGCGAGGTGGTCCACCTCGCTACGCAGCTGGGCCACGTGGCGATGCATCAATCGCTTCGCCGCCGCCGCACGCAGCACCTCGCCGATCTTCATGGGCCGTGGCTACGACCCTCCTGTCTTGTTCAGGAGAATCGCGCGGCCCCTTGTGATCCATCGGCCCTCCTCTGGGGGCGCCCCCCCCGATGCGAAACAGCATCCGGCGCAGCGCCCACATCAGGCCGTTGCCCACGCGCCGCCGCCTCACGCCCAAAGCTCAGCCAGATGCTCGGGCCTGAACCGGAAAGACCCTGCGCTGCAAGTGTTAGCGCACCGAACCGGACCTCCAGGACTTGCCGGCGTCACTGGGGGAGCCGTCCCCGAGTATCGCCTGGATGGCTTTGCGAAAGGCCCCCTCCTGCGCCATCTTGACGACGACCGCACGCTGGGTCTCGTCGATCTTCTGCACCCCGCTGTCGTATGAGGGCCGACCCCGCCGACGACGCTGGGACCCCGTCGCAACATGCAGCTCGACCCGGCGGACAAGCCTTCGAGGTCCCCTCTCCCATAAGCCGACCCGCTTTCCTACCTCGCGGGCAACGTGCGCCACCTCCGGGATGCCAGCGGAAAGCAGCTTGGTGCGACCCTCCTCGATGGCCCTCCACGCCCGTGCAGCAACGCCGCACGCGCCCGACCCAGCCTTCAGAAAGAGCTGGTTCCCGCGCAGTCGCGGTGCCAGGCGGGTCAGCGGCCGCGACGGCGGGATGCTGCGCGTTCGGGGCCACCGCTGGGGTCCTTCGAAGCAGGACGCCACGCCCGCCCTGGCACTGTGTCTCCGGCCCGCTCTGCCCGCAGGGACCGCGACGGACCACGCCGGCGGCACGCGCCCGTGCCAGTCTTACGTATGCGGCGGCAGGAATCTTCGACGCAGACCCCGCGCTCGAGGGCGCGCAAATGCCCCGCCATGGTCTCGCCCATGATCGCCCCCTCGTGGGCCACCGTGAGATGTCGCGCGAAACTGGCTGGGTTGGCGCAGCTCCCGCCGCGCTGGGGGCACAAGCAACCCTCCCCCACGCTCGCCGAGGATCCTCTCAGAACGCGTGCTAACGCGCCAACGTGTGCTGGTCCACCGAAGCCCTTCCGTGCGGCGCTGGCGGTGCTTGCCTGGCCGACAACGGCCCAGCGGGGCAACACACACACACAGACACACGGGGCTAACACGTCTCCTGAGGACCATCAATATCGACGCCTTGCGCTGGCGGACCGGCGGCGCCACCTGGGTGGGCCATGGGCCGAGAAGGAGGTCCTGTCACTGATCCGGCGGTATCTTCCTCTGGCCGTGCGGCGCCAGAGCTGCTGGCAGGCGCGCCTGGCTCGACCCCCGTTGCCACGTCCGCCATTAGACAAGCGCCTTCCACTGCTCGCAAAGTGACTGCTCGCCAATGGTCTGGGTCCGCCTCGGGAATATATGATCCATTACATCGAGGCGAACATGTGTGTTCGGGCGCTTGCGAATAGGAACTTTGCTACAGGGCTGAACCTCAATGGTGTTTTTCGTTTTCGTTTAGTTCTCGTTTTCCCTCGTTTTGTTTTCAATCCGCCTTTACCGCAAAACGAAATCGAACCGAATACGGCTCACGAAATCGTCAAAACACCGTTGAGGTTCAGCCCTGCTTTGCCAGTAGTGGGACGCGCTCGGTGAGCCATGAGCGCCGCCGCCCTCCACCCCGACAGCAGCGGCTGCTGGTGCCGTCGGCGCCGCTGCTGCAGCGGCAGTGCTGGCTGCCCGCATCGCATCGCGCTCCTTGTTGCGCAAGCGTGGCAATGAAGGGGCCCTGGGACCGACAAATAAATACACACAAATAACAGGATTCCCAATGTTTTCCCATATGTTCTGGGTTTTCGTCTTCCCTCCCGCTTCCCAAATCTTCCCATAGTTTCTCGGCGTCGGCATTGTGTCCGTGTGTTTCTTTCCCGCCTGAGTCAACACGGTCGTCGCATGCTGTACCAGCCTTCTGATGTTCCCGTCAGGCTTCAGGACCACATCCCAGAAAGCGTTTCGAGCACCGAAGCAGTGTCTGCCCGACACGCTGGCGAAGCGTCGAACGAAAACCGCCTCTCAGGGCCCGACACGCGGAAATCCTCCAGTTTCGGTACTGTCGTGGTGCTCGGAATTCTCTGGTGCCCAAGGCTAGGAGTAGGTCGGGACACTAGAATGCAGTCTCCCATGTCGACCAACAGGGAACTGTTTGATAAGCAGCGAGGGCGGACGCCAACGCGCTTGAAGGGCGCACGACGGCACGGACTCTGAAACGACAGGAGAGCACTGACACAACAACATGTGCATGACATCACTCCCCACTTCTACATCTCCAGAGGCATCGGGCCGCGCAGATGGCACTACAGTTTGAGAGTGGGAGCGGCACGCGACTGCGGCGGAAAGACATCTAAAGCCGGCCGATTCAAAGTGCTGGCTGCCAGCGTCCGATGAGAAGCCGCCCTGGGGTTGCGCGCCAATGGCAGTCCCGATCCCTTCGTCCGCTCTTCGGGCCCATGGGCCGTCTTTCATCCTGTCTGATGTGTTCTGCTCTTGTCCAACCTTTCGGCGCTGCAGCATGACCATCGAACCTTTCAGGCGCTCCATGCCATGATCCTTCCAGCACTCCGATCCATCATGATACTGTCATGGTGCTACAAAGGGAGCGCTGAACTCGCCCGCCCATGGGGCCAAAGGCCTGCTAAAATCTCCGATAAGAATTGAAGAATCTGTCTAGCTCTCGCGCGCATGGTGGCCCCTAGGGGTCCCCAAACGAAAAATTCCCCCGCAAGGTCCCGGCAAGGTCCCGGTAGGGTCCCGGCAAGGTCCTGGCAAGGTCTTCGGACGCCCCAAATTGGCACGGACAAACAATGGGAATGCCCAACAACAAATTGTTGTCCCGAACCGACAGGGCCGCTGTTAGCCACGCGGCTTTTTGTCTTCAAAGAACATGGTCCGCAGCGGCGCGGACAGCGATGCCTGTTTAAAATCAACAAGGACTGCTGTTGGGCATCGTTTCCATTCTTTCCGAACGCATTTCGATCGTCCCGAACTTGGCGAGGTCCCAGCAATGACCCGTGTCCGGTCAGAGATGCCAGATCTCCTGGGCGCGGCCTCGGGGGCCCCCCGAGCGACCCAATAAGGCGCCAGAAGGGTGGCACGCCCCACAGCCTCAGGCCAAGAGCTTTCCAAGATGGCCCGCATTGGTCCCAAGAAGCTCCAGGAGGGTTCCAAGAGGACGTCGAGAAGCCCCCCGAAGACGGACGGTTTTGGCGATACCGCCTTTCGACCGCCCTGGACGGCCAAAGAGGCCCCACGATCGCTCCACGACGGCCCAAAAAGCCACCATCAAGAAGGTCCCCAAATGGCCCAAGATGGCCCTAAGACGGCCCAAGAGGCCTCCAAGACGGCCCCAGGATGGCCCCAAGAGGGGGCCCAGAGGGAAACCCGAAGAGACATGTCGAGCTCTCGGCCCCAAGAGGCACCCAGGAAGCCCCCAGATTCTGCCAAAAGCCTCACAGGAGGTCCCAAGAGACCCCCCAGAGGTCCCCAAAGAGGCCCCCAAAGAGGCTCCCAACAGGCCCCAGGAGGCCCGGTCCCCAAGAGGCCCCCAAGAGGCTCCCCAGAGGCCTGAAAACTGCTCCCCAGAGGCTCCCCAAAGCCCTCACGAGAACTCTGACACACAACCCAGGTCCGTCGCCAAACTCTGCTGGAGCGCTCTTGAGCCGTCTTGGCGCCCACTGGGGCAGTCTACCGGCTCTCTTCAACAGGGTGCAAGCTACATCTCCAAAAATCTCCTCGAGGACTGTCCTGCTTACCCTGCCGTTTCTCTACGGGTGCAAGCAAACCACCATGCAGACACCCTGATGCGAAATGGGCCGGCGGAATGAGCGGAGCGATAAAATCCGCGGGAACCCTTGCGGGGAAAGCAGGCTGCAGGACCAAGGTTTGCTCTTCCCTGCGCCAGTTCCAGTTTCCAGTTTCCACTGTTACAGTTCTGTTTCTTGCTGCTTACTGTTCCTTGTTGATGGACCGCGCGAGGGGGGGAGCCGAGAAGGAACCGAGTTACCACGCCCGAATCGCATTGCCTGAATTCCTGGGGTGGCGTGGGACAAGTAAAAATCAATTATTCGCGCCTCCGAAGCCATAAACCTTTCTGTAAATTGCACAAGGTTCGCGTCCCCGAGGCCATAGACCCTCGTGAATTACATCGTACTCGCGTCCCCAAAACCATAAACCCTAGCAGAATACACTATACTCGTGTCCACGAAGCCATAAACCCTCGTAACTTATGCAATGCTTGCGTCCCCGAAGCCACAAACGCTTGTAAATCACGCAGTGTTCGCGTCGCCGAAGCCGTAAACCGTCGTAAATTACGCAATGCCCGTGTCTTCGAAGTCATAAACCTGCGTAAATGCACAATACTTGCGACACCGAAGCCATACACCCTCGCAAAATACACCGTATCCGAAGCCATACACCCTGATAAACTATACCAAATCCGCGTCTCCGAAGCCATGCACATCGAGCCCGAAGCCATACACCCTCGTAAATTACGCACGATTCGCGTATCCGAAGCCATAAACCATCGAAATACAACACCGAATTCAACAACATCACCAGAATTTCAATTTGTCTTGCCGATTACTCACCGTCTTCGCGTGAAGTCCCGACGCTGCTTCACGGCGGCGCCAAGGCCTCATGCTTTCGCTCTTGCATTGCCCATTATCCGAGAGAGGGGGCCGGCGGCAAGGGGCGAAGCCCTTACGGATTAAGATCACACGCATTTTGCACGGCGAACCTTGGCAACGAGAAAGTTCAACGACCTAGATCTCAGAAGCGGCCTGAAAACCGGAGGCCCTCCAGAGCCCACAGTAGTCCATATTTCACCGTCTTGACTGTACAATCCCTTCGTCATTCTCTCCTCCCACCTTCTCATCCTCCTCCGAACTCTTTCACCTCTGCATCCTTCCCTGCTTCTGTGTGCCTTCGCGGTCGTCTCAAGCGATGTCGACTGCTCGCCCTCACCGCCGATCTGTGGCTCATCATCCTTCTCCTCCTCGCATTCCGTCTATTATTTCTCAAGTCCCAGCAGGCCTTGCGGCGTAGGAGGTTAAACGAGTTAGTGTTTGCAGCCTTCCCCTTTCCAATGGCGAAGAGGCTTCTCACTCCCAATACCCCTCTCCATGAATCTGGACGGGCCTGGTCGCGAGGGATTAAAGCATCCAAGGTGGACCAAGATGGCCCCAGATAGCCCAAGATGGCCCCAATTTTGCACAAGATAGCCCAAGATGGCTTAACATAGCTTCCAACATGCCTTCAGGAGGCGCGATGACCATACCAAAGCAGCTCTATGTGGCTACGGAGCCGCCCAAAGACCCCCCCGAGAGGCACACATCCGCTTAAAACCAAATGAATGGCGATGCTCATTTTACCAGCACTATGTGCGAAGCCAAGCATTAGGATGAGCGCGAACAGACACTGGAAGCGTGAATTCACTGAGACACACGCTCGAGGGACGTCCACGTCACCGCGAGCATCCACCTGTGTTAAAGTTTCAGAGGAGGAGGAGGGGAGGAGGAAGGAGCCAGTGAAAAGCTTGAGCCAGCCGATTACGGACGAGCTCGACTCGGATCGGGGCTCAACGGCGATTCATTCACTCTGTCACACCTGGATAAATCCTCAAATGACGATGCTCATTTTACCAGCACTATGTGTGAAGCCAAGCATTAGGATGAGCGCGAACAGACACTGGAAGCGTGAATTCACTGAGACACACGCTCGAGGGACGTCCACGTCACCGCGAGCATCCACCATAGTCCATAGTTTGTACTGGCACAGCCGTTAAAGAGAGATGATGATGATGATGATGACGCGCCTTGAAAGGTCGGTTCTCCCAAAACACAAACCTGAGAAGCCACCAATACGCCAAATGCGTACGGTAGAGAAAGAGGGAAGGCGGGCAAGAAGCGGGAGAGGAAGGGGCAGAACAAAGATGAATCCCAACCCAGGATTGAAACCCAAGATACTAAACGACATCATGAATGGAGACTGCCTGTCCAATACTGAAAGAAACCATGATTGAAACCCATGATACTGAAAGAGATCGTGAATGATTGAAACCCATCCTAAAATGAACCCATGATACTGAATGAATGAAAGAGATCCACCACCAGGACCCTCTCGCTTTGAATAAAGGTGCGAGCAATGAGAAACGTAATGCAAGGTGATGGATTATGCTTAAATTGATCAAAATATCTTGAGTGACTTGAGTAACTCGAGTAACTTGAATAACTCTTGACGCCGAACTTGGGGGCACATGTTCCCACGACCAGAAGTAATTAAGAAGTGAAGAGAACTTTCTTTGAGTCCCTTGAAGCCCAATATACATAAGTGGCAACCCATTCGAATAAATGTGGTGAAAGAAAGAAAGCCTGACATTAAACTGAATGTCCCAAGCACGCAATGACCCAGAAGATACGGAGGCATACAAAGGAAACTGTAAAGCCGAGTGAGCCCAACCGTGAGAACCCACCCCAGGTGAATCGAGGCATATGAGGTAGTTGAATTCAAACATGTATGACGCGAGAGGGCTGTGAATGTTTATGGTTAGTATTTTGCCAACTACCGACGTTGAGGAACATGCAAAGGAGATTGAAGGAGAACTGAGAGACCTCCAAAAGCCGCAGGCCCATGCACCGCAGATGCCAAGAGGTTCAGACTGTGGTAGTCCCAGGAGAGGTCTTCACGGATACTTCCAACGCCACTTTTCTACAAAGAAGTCTCCGTCCCACCAGTCGTCAGACAGGTACCAAACCACTGGGTGGGGCCAGCCAGATTCAGGGTCGAACCACGTATCATAGTACTCCGTGTACCAGACTTTGGTGTAGACCTTTTCCTCTTCACAGTAGTTCCACATTCCACCTGAGCCGTGAGTCCACTTGAGACGCTTCCTGGCTGCTAGCTTGGCTGGGAGGCTGCGTTTGACCATCCCCTGAATTGTATATGGATGTTCCCAGCCGTTTTGGACAAGAGTTCCGTCAGGGTTTGAGGCGAAACGGCTACTGACCAACAGCCAGTTCTTTCCAAGGGATTCTCCGGACCCTTTCGTCAGGTCCCCTAACGTTTACATACAGTCTATTAAAGCCGCTGTCCCGACAAGCTTTGAAGAGCGGAATTTTGCACCAGTCATATGTGAGATGTGGACCGCCAAGGTCCGAAGGTATAAGGAACCGAGCAGGCAACTTGACCGCCCTTTGGAATAGCAGCGTAGAGCAGTATGAGAGTGCTTCGAGGTCTTGTTTGGACAGGAAGCAGACTTGGCGTTTAGACCTGCAAAGCTTCCCCTGAAAGATAACGTGAGGGTCTGACGCCTTGGGAGGTAGCATACCGAAAGCTTGAGCCCGAGACTGCAGGGGAGCAACAGGAGGCAAAGGGCAAGAAAGGGCCCACCAGAGGCGGACAGAGGGAGGCGGGATTGTTGCGAAGCCACGGTGCCCCTGAGATCGCAGAGATCAGGCGGGTCCCAGATAGAATCGCACAAGTGACATCTCCTGGTGTCAGCCAATCCCGAAGGCGGGAGGCAAGGAGAGAGAGAGAACACAAAGAGGTCTTGAAACAGACCCACATGTAAATTCCGTGGGGTGTCAAATACCCCCGCTCCATTAGTATTGGAGCCTGTTCTCTGAGGCTGCAATCAGATAAGATACCCATACCTCTGAGGATTCCGTCACATTAAATTTGTGCCAACAGATTTAGCCAGAGAGATGAGAGAGATGAGACTGGCCACAGACGAGCAAAGTTTTTTGGGGCATCCCTGGGCGCGGCGGGTCCAAAAAAACCCGTTGGGATCCTTGCCAGACAAGGGGAAGTGAGGACAACCTGTGACACCACAAATGCCTCGAGAGCCTTTGCACTTGGCCTCGAGTGTGGTGGCATCTTCAAAGTTGCACAAGAGGGTCGTGCCTTTTCTCCACTTCGCACCGTATCTGCAGTAATCTACCTCTACTTCGAAAAAACCGAAAAATCCTGGAGGCGGCGGATGCCTGGAACGTGCCAGAGAATGCTTGTACGAGGGTTCTCGAGCACGGCACGCACATTGTGTTGGCGACAGCACTTCAGGAGACGAATCGTGAACCGGGTCAGCGCATTGGCATCTGCAATCTTCTGAACGTCCTTGGCCGACAGCCCGTCCAAGCCCAAAGGGCGAGCTGTGGACCTCACTGGGCCAGGTCCCGCGCCACCGGCGCGGGCTCGGCTGTAGGTTGCGCAGGGCAGTCCAATCCAGACGAAGAGAATCGAGCCGGATCGCACAAGCTCCAAAATGAGGTCCTGAACGGCACGTTGGGAGACATCGGCGCCAGGCCCATCGAAGATCTCGTAGACCAAGGTGGGCACGCCAAGCCTGGCCAAGGCGCGGCTGACACCTGCAGTGCCGGCGAAGACCTCTATGGCTCGCGGGGCCGCTTTCGGAGGGGAAGCGGCACCGTCGACGGCGAGCCAAGGAGCCACTCCTCGAGGTTTCCGCACGCCAGCTTGGCGAAGGCGAGGAGGTGGGGCGGGGTCGACTGCATCACCTTCTGCACCCTCCCGCTCTTCTCGTACCTGCGCAGGCTGGAGTAGGTCTCCCACGTGCCCCGCTTGCGAGTCTCCTCGAGCGTCCTGCGCTGCAGCAAGATGTCCCGGGTGGCGCCTCCGCGACGGGCCTGGTAGGTCACCAGCTTGAACTTGTCGAGGCCCAGGTCCACGCACGCCTGGTCGAAGTGCTTCTTGTACAGGCGCATCCCGATCGGGAACGGCATCTCGTCGTCGCTCCCCCGACCCATCGAGAACCTGACGAGCCGAGCCGTGTCGACGTCGTGGTTGCCGAAGATGATCGTGTCGTCCTGAGCCCCCGTCTTGCTCATCGCGCCGCGCTCCTGCGGGAACAGGGTGATGCCCCAGCGGTCCATGCCCTGGGTTGCCACTGGTTGGAGGACGTCCCCCACCCGCACCGACATGGGAGCTCCTGGCCGAATGTAGGTGTCGAAGGACGTCACCAACGCGATCGCCGCCTGGGTGTGGCCCCTCCACTGCATGGCCGCAGCCAGCGCCGCACACCACTCCCACGGGAGGGGCAGGCGGCTGGCCGGCGGCGCCGCCTTGCGAAAGCCCCTCAAGGCCCGGCGGAGGCGAGGGAGGCTCGATCGCCCCAGGTTGGCTACGTCAGTGCGGCAGAAGAGCACGGCCCCGAGCAGCGTGTTCCCGACATCGCAGCGGTCCCCTTCGAGGTACCGAAAGTCGAGGTACTCGAGCGCCGCCAGGTCCACTTCTGCCGGGCTCGCGGTCTCCAGGCACTCCACCTCGGCAAAGTCCATGAACGAGTCGAAGGTCACCCTGTACCGCTTCTGCATAGCCTTGCCCACGGAGCGGTTCTCGAGGAGGCTCAGGCCCCCAGCGCGGGCCCCTGGCAGCGAAGTCTCGGCTGCCGCCGACGATCGCCTCGCCCGAGCCGCGGCGCGACGGCCCCGCAGCCTCTCCTCGCGGCGCAGACGCGCCGACAGAGCAGTCCCGGGCACTCCGCGAGGTGCCGGGGGCACCAGGCGCGACGGCCTCGGCCCCCGTGCAGCGGGGGCCGGCGTCGGGGCGCGAGGAAGCTCTGTCGGCCGCGCCAGGCGGGGCGTCACCGCAGCCGCCGTGGCTCGGACCCGCGGGGGACTTGCCGTCCCGCGGACTGCGTCTCGGCGCGGCGGCAGGCGCGCTGTCTGCCTCGTGAGGCGGGGGGCCTCGCGGGCCGCTGCCACCTCCATGGCCGCCAGCAGCGAAGGCCTGCTTGCGGGCCGCCCGGGCACGCAGCTGAGCAAGTCGGGCTGTCGGCGCGGTTGAACTCCGACGGCATCCACCTCCAACGAACGCGAACTCCCGACGCCAACGAGACTGCAGCGAACTGGCGACATACTTGAAGCAGGGCATTATCAGCAGCACGACCATTGCTGAACGCGAGCACAGCGGCCATGCTGTCCGAGAAACCGAGCAGGCGACACCCGTGAGCTTTACCAGACCTGACCCTCCTACGCACAGCGGCCAAACAGGCCCGCGCCTCCAGGATGTGAATTACCTCCCTACGATCCCAAGGAGCAGAAACGACGGTCCTCCATCGGTCCTTGGCAAGCACTTGTTGGGAAACGTTGGGGAAGGCCTCTTGAGGGCCCCACACCCACCGGGCGGGCTTGCCGCACGGCTTGACCGTCGCGGGGTCGCTGAAGGGGTCGGCGGCACGGAGGGCGTCAGCCCTAGGACCTTCACCTCGTTCAAACTCCAGACGGAACCTCCAGCGCTCACTGTAGGCGCTTTCGAACTCCAGTTCTTCGGACGTGAGCGGAGCTTCACAGATGCCGAAACCAGAGGGGCTCGCGTCGGTCATAAAACTGAGGGGGTCCCAGGGGGCACGAAGATTCGGCGAGCAGAGCGGCAACAGACAACCCAGAAGCCAGCATTCCCGAGCCACGCTCGGCCAGAGTCGCCCGCGAGAGTTATAATATTTGCGAACGAACCCGTAGCTGGAACTGAGTACGGACAAGAGCTCACGACGAGCGAGCAACTGAAAAGTTACATGACCCAAGAGGCGCTCCAACTGTCTTCCAGACACGACGGGGCGACGGGCGAGAGGGAAGAGGGCGACTCGGAGGCGCCACTGCCTCTCAGGGGTCCCACTAAAATGCCCACGGGCCCCATCGAGGAGGAAACCCAAACTCTGGGCCCACTGGGCAGCCTCCTCTTCCTCGTGCACCTCGAAACCGAGGTCGCGACAGTGCTCGGCCACGCGCTCCCGGGCGCGGTTCGCTCGATCGGGGCAGGTGGCGGCGACCGTCAGGTTATCACAATAAGGGGGGGGCGAGGACGGAGGAGGCCCGAAGAGGAGGAGCAGGAGCACGATCGAGCAGGATGCACCCTGGGGGTAATTCAAGCGCCCGACCGACTTCCGTCGAGTGCGCCAACTGCGCAAAGAAGAAACTCCAGCTCCATCCCATGGGGGGCACCCGAAGGGCAGGGAACCAGGTCCCGCCCGGGTTCCCGGGGCCCAGGAAAACGGGCGGCAGGACCAAGTTTTCAAAAAAGTCGGGCCCGACAGCATCGAAACTGAAATACCTACTGAGCTCCGGGGGGATCCCACAACAATAGAAGTAACCCTTGATGTCAGACAACGAGAACCACGCCTGCTCACCCTCTCCGATGGCCACATCCGCCCAGGCGGCACCTGTGCCCATCGGGAGGTGGGGAGTGGGACGGAAGAGACGGTTGGTGGCCCTGCAATATATGACCAAGCGCTGCCGTCCGTTTTTCTTGCGAACGGCGAAGGCGCCCACCTTGCAGGAAGGCCTGGAAACATAAGCCAACAACCCGGCCTCGTGCATCTTCGACATCAGGTCTTTAAAGTGACGGGACCCCCCCCGGAGCTTGGGATCAGAATAAACCTTCACGGGCAGCTGTGCCTCACACACGGCCCCCCACTCCTCTTCATTCAACAAGATGTGACGCTCGAAATCTACGAGAAATTGACTGGCATCACTCGGAAGGCGATCACCGAGGTCGACAGGCTTTGCTCCGGCTCGGGGCACCGAGATCAACTCTGAGTCGTACGAGGCAAGGCTAGCGTTGGGTCCGTCTTCGTAAGGACGGCCTGACCCGAGAAGCGCCGAGAGGGCTTCCTCGGAATTAGGAGCACAAAATGCAGGCTTGAAAGCACGGGCAGCGCCTTCGAGCCGGTTGAGAGCTTCTAATTGGCAAGAGGACGCTGGACGGTCACACGGCTCAGAATATCCAGCAAGCGAGTTAATTGCATCCACCATCTCATTAACGCGTTCGAAGCACCGGTCAGTCTCGGCAAGCCGCTGTCGCACGCCTCGCGACAGCCCAGCTTGACGCCGAGCCCGGCACTCTGGAGCCAGGCGAGGCAGAGGGAGAAGATCGCGCTGAAGCAAGCGAGCGTCGTCCCCAGAGGCATGAGGCGCCGCGGCCGCGGCGGGAGGGCCGCCCACACCCTCCTCGGGTTGGGCAGTCATTGCCCCGTCCCGGCGCCGGCGGCGCCGGGGTTGCCCTCCCCGCCTTGGCCCTTGCCGCCTCCTTTGGGCGGCTTCTTCAGCTTCGACAGGCGCATCTCCTCTGCATACTTGCGCTGCCCCTTGAGGATCGAGCTGCGCTCGGCCGCCTTCGCGGCCGCATGCCGCGTGAGAGCAGGAGCCACCAATGCGCCGCCCTTCGTGACGCCCCAGCCCATCATGTCGTCCGCGTGGCTGTAGTCCGCATTGGCTGGGTTGGCGACGTGAGCGGACTCAATCACCTGGGCCCGCCTTATCAGCAGCTCGAAACTCTCGAGGCACATGAGATTCAACTGGTCTCTTTCTGCAGCCGTCTGAATCACCTTCATGATCATGTGATGCTCGTGCGCCGAGCGATCCCCGGCGGGGGCGCCGCCGTCACTGGCCCAAGCCCTAGAGCGAGCCACGGGGGCCAGCCCCGTCTGAGCCATCTTCTGGAGGTACCACTCGGCGCTGGGGTCCCCCTCCAGCTCGGAATCGTTGAACTCCACGTGCTCCATGGCGCCCACCGCCTCGCTGAAGGGGCGGAAGCGATTCTCCCCGCGCCACTTGACGGGGAGCACGCGGAGGTCCCCCTCGTCGTCGTCGGCCGCGCCCGCACCCGGAGGGCCCGGCATCGCGCCTGGGCCAGGCGGCCCGGCTCCAGGAGGGCCGACGGCCCCCCCGTCCGCGGCCACCATGGCACCTGCGGCGCCGGCGCCCTCCACGGCCTCCACGGCCGCCAGCGCGGTAACGTACACCTCGGCGAGGTTCGTGCCGTCCATGAAGTTGTAGTAGCGGTCGTTCGCGCGGAAGCCAGCTCGGGCCGCCCGCGGCACCAGACTCCCATCCGGCTGGAAGCAACGCGTGTCAATCGACGCGCCCTCGCCCACCTGCTCCGGGTACACGTCGCCGCTCCGGGTGGCGACCCACCACACGGGGAGCCCAAACTCGTTCGCCTGCTCGCCAATCTGCTCCTCCATCATTTGTGCCGTCGTCTCCTTGATCAACAGGCGGGCGTGCCACGCACCGTTCCGGTAATGGAGCTTGACCTTCTGTCCTGCGCGGAACATGACTCTAAGTGATGAAGCAGCAGCCTGCACAGCAGCAACTGAGCAAGACGCCAAGGATGAGCCCGAGCAACAGGCCCACAAGGAAGATGCCCCACTTCAAGGAGCTGTTTCCGATAGTGTACTCCTCAGCCGCGCAGTGGGTGATGGTACTGGCGGCGTGCTGGGCCGCGTTGCTGATCGCGTCCGAACCAAGGCTCCGAGAGCAAGCTTGCCGAGCTGACGGATGCGATCAAACATATAGTGTGTATGTCCGGCGTCTGGCTCCTCTAGCCAGTGAAAAGCTTGAGCCAGCCGATTACGGACGAGCTCGACTCGGATCGGGGCTCAACGGCGATTCATTCACTCTGTCACACCTGGATAAATCCTCAAATAGCAGCGTTTGTTGTAGGCCTGCCGTGGCGCGTCCGATGGGCTCTTGGGGCCGCAAGATAATTTTGAGATGGCCCAAGAGAGCCTCAAGAGTTCTGTTGCTCCTATCGGACTTCGGGGACGCATCCCAGAAATAATTCGAGCACCCAGAAAAGTATCCGCCGATCCTGCGTGTGAGTTTCAAAGACCCTCAGATATAGCCTGAACCTCAATTCTTGAGCTTCAGCTCTGCTGTGGGGGTGGGTGCCGGGGTGGCTCTGCCGGGGTAGGGGGGGGGGTCCAAATCAATGTTGGTGACAAAATCGGAGCTCCAACTCACTCCAGGTCGGCCCCTCGCCCCGGAGAGCTCGAACGCGGGCTCATAAAAAAACCCAGCGGCCGCCTAGACGGCCCAAGAGGACCCTGATTGGCCGAAACATCGCTCCAAGACACTCAATATGTTCCTCAGACAGCTCCAGAAGCCTCCAACGTACACTCCCAACACCTCCTAAGAGTGCCCAAAGATGGAAAATCGGTCCCATTCCCGTAGGATAACGTGCATTGTTTTGCATTTTCGCTTCTTCGGCCTTCGCAATGTCCAAGACGGCCCAAGAGACCCTCAAAACGGGCCCAGAGGCTCTCACGAGGGCTCCAAATCGGCCCAAGAAGGGCCCAAGACGGCCCAGGAGGCCCCCAAGACAGCCCAAGCGGGCCCCAGGACGGGCCCAAGAAGCGCCCAAGAGGACTCCATGACGGCCCCAGAAGGGCCCAAGACGGCCCAAGAGGCGCCCATGAGGCACCAAAATGGCCCTCGGAGTCTCCAAGAAACCCCGAGAGGCTCCAAGTGACCCTCAAGAGGCCCCCAAAAAGGCACCAAAAGCGCTCCCGAAAGCTTAAAACTTACCTGGAGGCCTCCAGGATGCCTCCTGCATGCCCCCCAAGAAGCCCAAAAGGCCCCCAAGAGGCTCAACAATCACCTCCAAGACTCCCCCCCAGGAGGCCTCGAAGATGCGTCGTAGAGGTCCCTCAAGAAACCCACGC